TCCCAGTAGCCAAAACGCTACGGACTACATTCAGACATCATTAAAATACACCTAGGTTTGAGGTATTTCGACCCAATCCTTTGACACAAGTGAGGATATGGCTCCAAAACCTCCCCACGGCTTTGCCTGCCACGGAGGTGAGAGCTGGAAGTCCCCATTCAGGCAGATTTCACACCCTGCCAGCAGCCGTGCATCTCTATCAGCATTGAGCCCCTGCAAACACTTGGGATGCACGGCCCAGGCCAAAACCTCAGTGATGTTTGTCAAAAATAACGTCATTTTGGGGTTCAACTTGAGTTTCCATTTGCTGTTTCTTGCAGAATTTGCTGGTGGCCCAGTTGCTGACCATTATTTTTGCCCAGTTCCCCTGTAGGAGTGAACAGATCTCACCCAAACTCACCCTCCTCTCTCACATCAGCACATGAAGAGGGGGCTGAACACAGCTGCCATCTCAGAACTGCCACAGAAACACTTCTTAGCTCTTTAGACATCTCTCACCGATTTTTTACACCATTTATTTTACCTGTGCAGACAGCAGTAGAAACGAAGCTGTGCATTTGGCAGCACAGGGTGCCGCTACCATCAGCCTTCTTCAGAAACACCCCTCAGCAAAACCCTGTTTGGTCAAGAGCCAATTATAAGAAGCCACGGCAGGGGCTCTGCTGCACTTGTGGGGTGCGACGCTGCCGACACAACCACAAAGTCATCCAGCGGTTGCACTGTGGCACAGTTTGCATGAGGCAGACTTTGTTGTAACACCGTTACAGCGACTGGGATGCACCATTGCTTCTAGGGCCGTGGCAAAGGCCACCCCACGTTCAGCACAGAGCTGCCACCAGTGCCCCACCGGTGTCCCCAGCAGTGCCCCTGTGCATCGGTCCCACTCCACGTCACTGCACTGGGGGGGGGGGGGGGCGCCCACGGACGGACCCTGCCATGCTTGTCTGGCCGCTCATGGCCCATCTGCATCACAAAAGCCCCATTCTTGCGAACTTGGGCGACCTCCCGACCCCGCCAGCTCGGGGAGTGAATGGCTTTAGTCTACCACGATCATCATGTCACTTTGATTAGTGCGTGAATAAACTCTCAATCCCAGGCTGGGGGAGGCAGGGGCCAGCCAAAGCCTCACCAACTCCAGAGGCAGTGCTGTTCTAGGGGTAGCCATAGGGATCCCAACCTGGAGCTCCCCTCCATCCCTTCCACAGCATTCGGGCCCATCTCTACTCTGCAGGCTTGGAGACGTGGCACCCAACAGTCCCGCTTCAGTGTTTAGGGGACCCCAGTGATTGCTTCTTCCAGCTCCCAGGGGAAATATCAATTCTTGTCCCTTCACTTCTCCCAGGGCATTGCTGAGGACGGGCTGGTGGAAGTTCCCTGCACCAAAACCCCATTAGAGCAAAATGGGACGTACTCAGCTCTCACCTCCGGCTCCCTCAGCCACAGTGTGAATCCAGGCTCACAGAGGAGACCCCAAAAAGGTGAATCCTTCCCAAATTATGGGGTTTTGGAGTTCACTTTCCATATCCACACACGGTTCCATGACAACGGGCAGCCGGTGCCACTCGCCTAGGGATGCTCCCAGCTCATCCCAATCCAGCAGCCACATCCAGCTCCAAAGGGGTGCCCACAGGTTCTCTTATCACCCCAAAACTAAGCGCCAAAGGGGAATGGAGGACATTCCCATGATCTTTTTGGGAAGAGGATGACTCCCAATTCAAGGCATTACTTCTGGGGGAAATTCTGAGGATTTTCACATCCTAGGGAGGCCCCAAATCACACTCCAGTTATCCAGCCAAGCTACACCTTGTAATTATTCTCAAGCATCATGTTTGCTTTTAAGAGGAGCTTTTGTACATTCCTGCCCCCTGCAACGAATCCTGCAATATCTAATAAAGCCCGAGCTATCCAACAACTCTCAAAACTGCCAAAATACCACTATTTTAAGCCTCAAAATGCAAGATCTGTCGAAAAGGGTTAGGGAGACAGTAAATTAGGCCCTGCACGAAGGGCTCTACATGGGAAGCTAATGACCTTTTGTCTCTCCTGTCTACAGATGGGCCTCATTTGCATGTATGCACTTGGAATAATCTCGCTCATATTTCAGGCGCGCGGCTGCATCCCCACATTCTCCTCTGGAGAGGTTCTCTCTCACATCACTGCCATTGCACAGTGCTTGGGGCACCCATGAGGAGAGAGCTTGGGGTCTCTATATGTGTTATGCCCCCATATAAATATATATATGACAAACCAAGAGCATCCTAAACTAGGGAAACCAGGAACGGGGAGCAGACTTTGGGGGAATTGCTCTAGGAATGGTGCACTCTCTCATCTGTGGGTGAAATCTGAGCAGATTTATAGAGCTCCTGCACTGCCCTCCAGGTCCCCGCGCTTCCCTTTCTCCTGTTCTTCATGGCTTTTGCTGAAGCAGCTCCCAAGGAGCAGGTTGGAAGCACTGGGAGCAGAAAATTCAGGTACCACCAGGATGCATCGCTCCCCAATGCGCCAGGACCCCAAACACTGAGCATGATGCCCTCAAGCTATTCTAGCATTCAACCCAAATCCATTCCTTCCCACTTACACCACAGCCCCTCTCTGGAGCCCCCGAACCCAATCTCAGCCAGGATCAGGCCTGGCAGGGAGCAGCAGCTCCGCCAACAAAGCGCTGGAAAGACAGCGCCGCGCTGAGCGCGAGACCTCAGACAAGCAGAGCTGTCAATCCAGCCCCGATCTCTCAAAAGATGGATTGTTTAAGGACAAAAAAAAAAAAAAAAAAAAAAAAAAAAAAAAAAAGAAAGAAAAAGAAAAGGGAACTTACGGACATGAGCTGAGAGGCGGGGAAAAGAGGGGAGGGGAAATGAGCCTGGCCAAGTTAAAATTCCGACGGAGAAGTTGCAGCTGAACTATAGAGTCTAGACAACCATTCACTGACTGGCCCCAATTGTTATATAGCCTCTATTGTCTTAATTAACCATTTTGGCTGAATTGGGAGCAGACAAATCTTTTCTTCTGCATCCCACCCCTCCTTTGTGCATACTCATGCAGACAAACACACGGCCAAGTCAAGTGCTTTGATTTAAAAGCCCCCTCCGCATCCACACGCACGCATCCATCCATCCACACACACACACACACACACACACACACACACCTTCTTTGGCAAGATCTTTACAAGGTTCCTTGAGAAAATGCCTTGCCAAACAAGCCCAGGGTGCAGGGCAAGATGGAGGTGGGGAGGAAAGAAAAAAAAATTTTATATATATATATATATATATATGCAAATTCTGACGCAACGCAAATGGGAACAAATGGGTTGATTCGTTTAATCTCCTAATGTGCTTAATAAAGCATTATTGCAATGCAAATTTTGTTTTAGTGCTGTACATGCTTTATTTGCCACGCTGGTAAATTTTAGTCGGCTGAACCTTCAGCTTCTTTGTTTTATGGAGTTGATTCTGGTTGGGGTGAGGGGGGGATTTTTTGGGGGGCCTTGTGTCAGCTGACAGCACCTGGGAATCTTTGTGGCGTTCTCTTAGGAGGGTTAAGCTAAAAAATAAATCAATAGGAACTCCCAGTTCCTCCCCTGGTGATCCCAGCAGTGACGCAGGAAACCTCACGGGCCCCACTGCCCCTTTCTACACCTCTGCTCCATGCCCCCATTCCTGCTATAGTGGGGAGCCCCAGCAATGGGATCACCAGTGTTCCCCATCCTCACCCCAAGCAGATTTTGGGCATCTCTGCAGAGCTCCAGAAAAACCCAGACATCAGCAACACTGGGAGAGACCAGCATTGCATGGGAGAGAGGGGGGAGTCGTTGCCTCGTTTCATACCAGTGTGTCAAGGTGCAAACCTGATTGCAAAAGAAAGAAATTAGTGACAATTATAATCATCGTGCAGGGTTGCGGCTCTCTAATAGAAATCTGTCATTTTGGCAGGATAAATGCTGCTGGAAGAGATCTGTGAGGCAAACATGGCTGTGTGCAAACGTTGGTGGATGTGTCAGAGTCCAACTCTTTTAGCACAGAACTGAACATCAAACTGCACCGCAGGGGAGCAGAGGCATGGGTGAAGGAGCACAGAAGAGGACTGGAAAAGCTATTGCTGCTTGTACTTGAGGGGTCCTGGAACTGGAGATCCAAAGACAAAGCCTCCAATCCCCTCCTGTTTCACTGACCTCCTCTTGACACTGTGTCTAATTGGGCTGGGACAGGAGCAACACCACAAGGATGGGCTCAGAGAAGGGACCCGAAGATCTTGGGTGCATCAGTGAGTGTCACGTGCAAGCCTTAAAATGCAGACCCCAAATCTTCAGCAGCAAATTTCATTTGGCTGCACCTCCCCGCCTCCACCAAAGCACTCCAACCTCTGCCAAAGCAGTTTTCCTCAGAGTCCTTTGGAGGAGCAAACCCCACAGGGATGACTAGGGCTCACCCACAGCCTCACTCCAACCTTTCACATCACTCACTGTAAGAAAACAACCACGCTTTAAAGCACAGAGTAAAACCAGAGACCAAAGGAGGATGAGAGGCAGGAGCAAGGGATGGCACAGAGCACCACAAACTGCAGCAAAACCAGGAGAAAGCAGAGCACTTCCTCAACTGGCTTTAACTACAGCAAGCAGCCACAGGTGCCCCCGTTTGCTTATGGGTCTCAGTTGGGACCTGCCAGGTGCAGGAATTTGAGCACCATGTGCATCGTGTGGCTCCATCCATCCATCCATCCATCCATCCATCCATCCATCCATCCATCCAT